TAGACTCGGTACTTGTTGTAGAGCAGGGAGAGGTAGAGCGACGGATCGAGCAGCAGAAGGGAGAACTGGACGTGCAAGCGATGGGGCTATTTATTCTAGGGAATGGGTGTCGCAGGGGGCTGATGAGCGGTTATCTTGATGGGAAGAGCATAGGCTGCAACGACATTGAGAGCGCAGGGTGCGACCGGTACGGGGAGGGGATGGGAGAAGTGCAGGAAGCGCAGGGTCAGGCGAGTGCCGAGTGGGAGGATGTGCGGGCGATGATGGATGAGATTCGGCATGGATGTGGGGTGTGCTTTGTAGCTGGAGAGAGCGGGAGCGAGGGATGGAAGCGGCATAAGGCGGTGCAGTGCACAGCACACGTAGGGCTTACCGCAACGGATGTGGACCGGTTTCGACGGTTTGTGTGCGACAGCGGAGAGAGGATTCATAGCTGCCGACGGTGCTGGGTAAGTCAGAAGTATTGCGCGACCAGGGAGAGCATGAGTCAGCGGTGTCAGTGGCCGAACGTAGTGATACCGGTGGTTCGAGCGATTGCGAGTGAAGCGGCGGGCGTAGGGCTGGTGCGAGAGCTAGGGTATACAGGAGAGCTAGGAGGAGATTGGAAGGAGTATGCAGGATGGTTAGCCAAGCGACATGCGGTGCGGGTTTGGGGGGAGTATTTTAGCAACGCGATGGTAGTTGCGATACGGGTGTTATTGTTCTGCCGTAGGGTGTTTTTTGGTAGAGAAGGATGTAGCGGATAGAAATGTAGCGGATTTATTTCTTGTCGAGACGTAGTACTCCTACGTTAGGAGGAATTCCATGGCTGCCACGTCGCCGACGCTGCCTCTGCTTTTACCAAAGGCCGGTTAGCTGTGCCGTGTAAGCCTTGTGTTGGACTAATAACAGTCTGCGGATAATGCTTGTAGAGTACGTGGCACAACGCAGCAATACGTGCTAGGGGCCCCGCGTTACTGCGCTACTAGTAGCCTAGTTGTGCGGCGTGGTTCTGTAGTTCTAGGCAGGCAGTTTTCTCGCTAGCTCTTTGGGGGGCGTCTCTTATTTAGTAACTCTTAGGGCTAGGTTGGATGTTGTTCTTCGTTTCTATTCATCTACCTACTACCTATGTCTGCCACTATATACAACTACGTTAGCATCTATTCTTCGCTCCAGACCTCCAACTGTTGGCACGTAAAAGACAGCCTTGGACGACCCATAGCACAGAGACTACCTGTCTCTAGTCCTTGGTCAAACCACACAGACACGCCCCCAAGGTGTAAGGACAACTTGCCAGTAGCCTCCAATTCTATCCTAGTTTGGGGCCAGTTCCCTCTTAGCACGCTGTGGGTTGGGCTACTCTGGACAAGACAGTCCGAGTACGCGGTTGGAGGCAGAAGAGCTTGAGCCCCTCGCCGAATCTCTGCTAGGCAGTTCGCCCGTACCATGGGCGCATTCAAACAGCAAGCGAATAGTAGCGGCCCTTCCTGTGTAGTGCTATATACATATAAGAGCCGATGTGTTGGCGCTAGAGCGAGTAATGGCCATATAGCGTAGCACGATAGCTCAGGAGGGCTACCCTGAGACAGCAGCGTTAACCTCGTAAGGATAGCAGCGGGGGTTACAAGACGGAGTTGGCAGAGCTGGAGGATGCTTAGGCGGGACTGCTTAGGTAAAGGCTCTGTTGTAACGGACTACCTTGGTTAGCGGCTTTGGCTTGATGCTGCGAGGGTGTGATAGCCTACTGCAGGTGATACACCCCATAACTGCTGAACCTCGTACTGGCTAGTTCTGTGGCTTGGAAAAGCATGCCACACAAAAGCAGCTAGTTCCGCGAGTAGAAGGGGCTTACTACTCAGTTAGCGTAGTAGATGAAACGGCAGTAAAAGAGTAGCGTACCGCAGCGTTTGATGCAAACTCGGTAAACTGCTCCCAATCTACCTTGGTACTGTCTGCCTGGAGAGAGCAAGCAACAGTTCTTGCTGTGTTGTATAGCCCTTCTTGCCTGTCTATACTGGAGCCAGGGAGTGGTAGTGTAGCAGCTACAAGTAGTAGCTCCAGCAATACTTGGACAGATTGGATCGGTACCTCTCTCGCTACTTTTGTAGCATAGGAGCTTGGGAGTGTAGCTGCTACAGGCAGAAAGCGTTCTCTATTTGGCTTTTGCCGCTGTGGCATGCTCTCATAGAGCACAGCAACCAGGTCTTTGTTGTCACCGCCCGCTCTGCAGTTTTGAGTAGCCTCCTCTGCCCAGTTTGTGTTGCTACAGAGACTTTGGAAGAGCAGCCTGCCTCTATCTGCCCAGTTGCGAGGTCGCTCTACAGCGTAGGAACGGCTGTGACGGTCCTCAAAGCGGATGTAGAACTGGTCTTGTCCTGTTAGCAGCGCTATGGCAATGGCTAGGCCGTCTAGCGTGAGCGTAGTAGTACAATCTGGCTTGAAGGGCCAGGCGCTGTAGTGCAAGAGGATCTGGTACACAATAGGCGCGGCTGTACGCGCTATCGTCTGGTTGTCCGAGCATACGCTAGCAAGCCATGTCTCTACCGAAGAGATGGACCAGTCTGGCGTATGTTAGCAAAGGACTTGGGATGCAAAGAATGTGTCTCCTACAATGGCAGCAGCTATTCTCTACACTGTGTTCGTAGAAGCGCTCTATAGTAGAGCTAGGAATCCCTGCTATAAACAGGTGCTCAAGCAACATCTTCTGGACATGTTCTGTTCTAGTTAGCTAGTAAACAAAAGAACAAGGTGGCAGACGTGTACGAGGTAATGCGTAGAGCTTGCAGAGATCAGTTGTGCTAGCTGCGTACATGCTGTATAGGTTACTACCGCTAGAGCGCACGTGAGAGAGTACTTAGTAGTCAGCAAGATCTAGTGTGTGCCACACTAAGAAGAGGGGAGGCTGCTTAGAACTTTTTAGAAGAGTGCGCAGCTACTCTACTCTATATACGTAATCCCTACCTTGTCAGCGCTTATCCAAAATAGCTTGTGTGTTCTTATTGGTCTCTATTATTAGATATGCTGCGCCTCCGGACAGCTTCTTACGAGCCCAGCTGTACTCTCTCTTACACACTACAAGCCATGTATACTAGGAACTGCTACGCTACTCTAGATTACACGTAACTACGCAAAAGCATAAAGCAGAAGAGACGTTGAACTTCGTATTCCCGCGTAGCTACTTCTCTACAAGCGCGCTTACACTATATACGGTGCTATGTATACCCTAGTAGAAGATTGGTACATAGACAGTATGAGAGATCCTTTGCCAGCTCCATGCGCAAGGAGAGGGTTTACATAGCTTGCTCTACTAGGCGACTAGTCATCGAAGAAGCCAATAGTAAGATCGGCAACCCGGCTCACGGAGTCGCCTAGGTACATTTGGATAGTGCCGCCAATAGCCCCTGTATCCGTGTAGTGCTTTGCCTTGCTTGGGCGGTAGTATTTAATATCCTGCGTACATCCTTCTCCCTTGGTAGCAATCCGCTCAATACCATCGTTGCAGAGATCGTACACTCCTGTAGATAGCTCTTTGATCTCGTTAATTGTCATCTTAGCAGGGGGTACAAAGGTAAGCAGGTAGGATGCTGTAACCTTGCGTTTGTCCTTGAGTTGGTGACCCTGCTTATCGTGTCCATTGGTTAGCTTGTCAATAACAAGCCCAACCCCACCATCCTCCTTTAAGCCTGAGGAGTCGATCTGGTCTTTGAGCTGTGAGCAGATATCCTTTGATCTGGATACAATGTCTGCTACCCACACAAAGTTATCGTGTACTGTTTTCCCATCACACCAGGTTGCTTTCTTGTCCAGGTACAGGCTCTTGCCTAGTCGTCCAACGGAATCAATAATGTATCGAGGCTGCACAGATCGTTTCTCGTCTGGGTTGTACAGAAGCTCCTCTGCTCCTACGTCTGCCGTAGGGCTTCCCGCTTCCGTGTCTCGCTTTGTGTTTGCCTTTGCCTCGTCAAGACAGCTGCGCATCTCTTGAGGCGTAGGCTTGCCCTTAGTAGGGAAGTTGGGATGCTTTTGCTGAATACACGCAAGGAGCGGCGAGTGTTGCGGGTTGACAGCCGGTTGAGGGATGGCAACTGGGTTGGCGGTAACGGAGGTAAGGCTTATAGCCACTGCTACCCAGATGGAGATGTTGCACTTCATCGTTGTTGTAGTTGTAGTAGCAATTGAGTGTAAAGCTAGAGGGTATGTTAACAAGGGAAGCAGGACAGGTAGCCTAACCCAGCTTCGTACTTACATGCAAGATGTAAACGTATGTATTGCTGCCTCTGTGGTAGTTAGCGTTGTCATTTTGCGAGCTACTTCCCCGCTCTTATATGCTAGAATCTACGCAGAACCGGCTACTCGTTGGTAGTAAGACTAACAGGCCTACAAGGAGGAGGCGTAGGAGGCGCTGCTTGGATAGACGGGCTTCTGAGGGAGGCGCGGGAGGCACTACTCAGACACACAGGCTTCTGAGGGAGGCGTGGGAGGCACTACTCAGACACACAGGCTTCTGAGGGAGGCGCGGGAGGCACTACTCAGACACACAGGCTTCTGAGGGAGGCGCGGGAGGCACTACTCAGACACACAGGCTTCTGACGGAGGCGCGGGAGGCACTACTCAGACACTCAGGCTTCTGACGGAGGCGCGGGGGCTTCTGACGGAGGCGTAGGTGGCACTGCTTAGGTATACAGGGTTCTAAGAGAGGCGCGGGAGGCACGGCTCAGACACACAGGGTCATACAGGAGGAGTGGGTATTCTTTTTTCTTACCTACCTCCGAGACACTCTTGTTTTACTATGTCTTTTTTACATCCTGTTTGTTTCAAGGCCGACGTTGGGATAGTAGAGAAGGGGCACAGATACAAGCGGAGAAGAGGCACAGGGACAAGTAGTTCTTAAAACAAGCACGTCCGCCTCAAGCTAAGGAGCCAGAGCAGCTTCTTTACTATCTTTCTCTTTTGCCAACAGGCTACTATACTCCCTTACTTCCTCATTCTGCTCCAGTACGCTACCAGGACTCTGTACCAGTATGCAGCTACTCTTACTATGGTCATTTCTTCTGCAGTGGATTGCCCTGGCGCTAGCAGGACGAGTTATACCATGGCATGACGATAGTGCCACTAGCTACGATGTTATGGCATCTGTGCTTAAGGATCAGGGGTTACCAGAACCAGAAATCGGAGTCAATTACGCATTTGCGGAATACTGGAACGGAAATGCTATTGAGAAGATGTGCAACGGGGGTGCTCAGTACGTTTTTGGCTACGCAGCGAGGCGAAGAAGATAGATAAGAGAGGCATGCTAATCTCTATAACGTAGTGCTGTCATTATTGTGGGCCAGTTTCGGTCTGGTCCTTACAGTAAAGACTTCCAGGGATATGCATTCGACCTTGATACTGCGCTTGATGCAACGTTCAAGAAGGGCGTACGAGCTAACTACCGAGCACGGGTGTGGGAGCCGTTTACGTCTATGCATAAACAAGCCAAGATTAATGCACTAGGGCGAGTTCGGCAGGATATGAGCATTGAAAAGCTTAGTGAGCTTGTCATAGACAAAAGTATAGGACAGTTAACTAGAGGAGTAACACAGCTAACTAGAGCTAGGTACAATCTACTTTGAACGGTACCCTGAGTATGATTTACTGGTGAACAACTGTGGACAGTATGTAAACTACATCATGGGGGTTATTGGGACGGAATTCCACGCCTATGGGGACCTGCCCGGAGAAAAGAAAAGGAATAAGAGAAGAGACGGTCGTGCCGTAGAGTCTGTAGCCTACCTGTAGGACCTGTAGGAGTAGAATACGTCCTAACCAATATAAGGTGGCGGATTACGGATAATTCGTGCCGAATTGGGCTTCTCGTTAGGGTTTCTTAGCTGAATTAGGCTTGTCGTACCCCGCGATCCGTCCATCTTCGACCCCCTAATCCGCGGGCATTGCACTGCTCAAAACAACTTTTGTCTCATACAAACTTAGTTCGCGCATGTCTTAACTATCTATCCCCAGCTTTGCAGCGACTTGCAGCGAGTTTTGTACTAATTAGGGTTTCTTCAACAATAGAGCTACCAATCTAGGACAGCCGCGCGCCCGCACCGCAGGGAGCAGACAATAGCAGCAGCAGCCCGCCCCCGCGCCGCACACCGAAACTAATGTCGCTGGACAATTGCGACGATATTCTCTGCTTCTTAGAGGATTTTGGTGTACTAGTATGCAAGGAGCACTGTACTAGGTTGATTAATCTTGATAAGCATCTGCGGGAGCAGCACGCAACACCAGCTAAGCTGCGGAAAGAGATTGTTGAGCGATTCAGACATCTCTCTCGAACGGATTCGCATACCATTACGCTTCCCGAGCCGCCAGCATGGCCGATTGAAGAGCTAGGATCGCCGCTTGATAGGTTTACGTGCACAACGTGCAGCTTTATCACACTCAACACTGACAGCATAAGGAAACACTAGAAAAAATCGCACAAACTTTTATAGACAGGTGACAAAAGCGCGTTGTATAAGTCTGTAAAAGTTCAGACGTTCTTCCGTGGGGGGGGTTGCAGAAATATTTTATTGTTGATTTGGGTATTACGGAAAATAGGGCAGAACTCAATTAAGATCAGGTCGTTTAGCAGCAACTCCGCGGATGGCAGGACGTGCAACAGCAGCTTTAAGAAGACATGCAAGTGATGGATGAGGCTGCAAAGACGGACAAAACTAGCTGGTTCAAGAGAACTGGGTGGTTGTTGTTTCTGCAGGGCCGAAATCTGGCTTATCTAGGCTATCAAGCCCGCTTGCCCGACCGAAACGAAGCAAAGCTGCAGCTGGCTACTAAGCTGACAGAAGAATTGATGGAAAGATCTGTTCGTGGCTTAGCAACGCATCCGCAGGAAACACGACGCTGGCTTCGTAGTGCGCAGCAGACGGAAATTGATCAACGGCCGCTGGCGCGACTGCAGAACCCCGAGAGTCAGGCAACGGACACTAGCTACATGGTCCGATTTGTCTGCTTCCATCTCCGCATCGTTGCAGACGAAGAGCGTCGAGTAGATGAATATGTAGCACAGAGGGATCAAGCCAAGAATTTATATAGCAAGTTCGAGGCGCGTAGTCTATCTTACAAAAAGAAGAGTACGTAGAGTAGAAAGAATTATAGAAGTAGAGAAGTAAGACTGTGCAAGAAGTAAGAAAGAATAGAGAAGGAAAATAAAATCTGTACCCGGCTAAGCGCTTAGGTAACGCAGGATAGAAGAAGAGAAAGAAGTAGAGAAAGAAGTAGAGAAAGAATTAACGCCCGGCTTAACGCTTAGAAATAACAAGAAGAGTAAAAGAAAAAAAGAAGAAAGAGTAATAGAGTTTAGAGAAAAGGTTAGGAGAAAGTTATTGTACGAAAGAGATATCTACAAAAGAGAAAGCGCTGCTAACTAAAGAAAAGAAGGTGCTTGTTGTTTTAGAAGAAAGAGTAGTAGAAGAGATAATTAATAAGAAACGTTCGCGTTAGAGAAACAGAGAAAGAAAGAAAGATAGAGAGTAGAGAGTAGTAAGGGTTGAATTTAAGAGAAAAGGGTTAGCAGAAGATAGAGAGTTGTAAAGAGAAAAAGAGAGGTAGAAAAGATTGAAACAAAGATGCAGAATAGTATAGCGTTCGTACTTGTTTACAGAAGGGTTAGCGTTCTTGTATTTAGGGTAGGATTCGGGTTCTAGCATTTACGACAGCATTAGAAAGAAGAGAAGAAGTTAAAAAAGATAAGTAGAACGCGGAGAGTAAGAAAAGATGTTAAGAGAAGACAAAGGGTAATAGAAAAGAAGTGTTACGGTAACCACCGTGGTTCCCCTAACACCTGAACGCACAGATTTCGGGTGGCTCGCCAGTCCACCCGAAATCTGTTAATTGGCCAGCTAAGGCCTGAGCGCCGCGCACGGCCCTAGCTATATCTTTCACCGCTTTGCATTCTGTTCTGTTCCTTACGCAACGTCTTGTATTACACCAGATATCGTACGTAGCTACAATTAACGCTTCTTGTAAGCTCTTAAACACGTGCTCGTAGCGTCTTGTGACATCTAGAGACTAAGATATGTTTATCTAGGGGCCCTCGCGCTAAGCAATCGCTTGTCTATGCTAAAGCCGTTTAATGAGATAACCGGCCGGTGCAAGACTTCCTAACCAATATGAGGCGCGGTTCGGACCCCGACCCGCGCTACAATAGGCTTAGCGTTAGGGTTACGTGTCCCGATTAAGCGATTTGCACCCCCCGAACCGCGAATTCCGACCCCCCCGAACCATTACGCTACAGCGGTTATCAGCACTACATTCGCATACAAAAGTTTCTCGCGCATACTTAACAAGCGTGTCTGCAAAGTTTCTACTTGTTGCAGGTAGATTTACGTTGTGGGATCTAGCTTAGGGTTAGGGTTATCTAATAATGGAGCTGCCCGTCTGGAACACTCGCGCGCCCGCATCGCAGAACGCAGAGAGCAGCAACAGCAGCCCGCCCGTACGCAGCAAGCTGCAGGCAGTTTCGCTAGACAACTGTGCTGATATTCTCTGCTTTTTAGCTGATTTTTGTGTGCTAGTCTGCAAGCAGCACTGCAGCGGCGTAGTTAATTTAGACAAACATCTCTTAGAGCGACACGCGACGCCCGCTAATGTGCGAAAGGAGATTCTTCAGCGATTTGCGCGTTGCGAGAGGTTAGATCCGAAGGATGTTAAGCTTCCCGAGCAACCCGCTCAACCGATTAAAGAGCTAGGGACGCCGCTGGATAGGCTCTGTTGCAAGACATGCTCTTTTCTTACAGTAGACAAGAGCGTGTTGCGGAAACACTTGAAAAAAAAATTACTAACAAGCATGGAAGGGAGAGAAGAGCGAGCTGTTTGATTCTGTCAAAGTTCAGACGTTTTTCTGTGGTAGGGGGTTGCAGAAATATTTTGTTGTTGATTTGGGCATTGGGGAAAATAGAGAAAAACTTGATTAAGATCAGGTTGTTCAGCAGCAACTTAGCGGATGGCAGACCGTGCGACAGCAGCTTGAAGAAGACATGCAAGTGATGGCCGAGGCTGCAAAGACAGACAAAACTAGCTGGTTTAAGAGAACTGGGTGGTTGTTGTTTCTGCAGGGCCGAAATCTGGCTTATCTAGGCTATTAAGCCCGC